AAAAGAAACAGACATATTTCCACGACCACAACTTAAAACTTCCTGCATTGTGACCCATGGTCCTATTATAGCATATTGCCAATAAAGAAATGTAACATCTACATGTAATTTATCACATCTTTAACTAGTGGGGCAAAGCTTGCCTTATACTACTTAGTAAGAAAAGGCATGTCAAAAGAAAAGTATAAACAAATTGTATGAGAGAACTTTTATAATCAATTATTTTCAAGCATCTCATGAACAATCATTTTTATATGAATATTAACATACTAACATCAAACAAGTCTCTGAAGTCCATCGATATGTCTACTTGACAACCCTTTATAGTCAGTTACTTAGAATAAATCAAACCACTTTTTTTTAAAAATATGCCAAAATTTCTCACTAATCAAACTTCTCACTTAGCCTATATCACTGATATTTTAAGTTGAACACTTACAACTTGTATACTTTATCAATCTACCACAATAATTTGGTATACGTTTCCATTGGTTTACATAAAACTCACCCTAAAGAACAGAAGCTAACAATTATCAAGACAGCTGTAGAATAGATTCTTTTGAAAAGTTTCTATTGGTTTATCTAGGTGAGTAAAATTCACAGTAAAAGTTTTTGAAATATCTGAAGATACATATTACTGTTTTTTATATTGAAAATAACTATGAGCTATGTTACTTATATATTTGGTATTTATAAATATTTTGCAACCTTCACCCTGAATTTTTACTTAGGTGGACACCATGGATCTAATATAAACAGCGAACAAGTTGGCATCTATACAACTTATTACATATTGATTCAAATGTTTTTCGTTGGTTGTTAAGTCAAGATGCTCATTTTTAATAATATTTTGCTTGCCTTTAGTCAGATGAAGATTTGTAAAAGGGATTTTTGAAAGATTTAAAGGAGAAGGCATAGCTAACTGGATGTGGGAGGCATATCTAGGTACATCATATGTCTGAGAAAAAAGGGATAAAGGAAAAGAATAATGAGTATATCAGAAAAGTAGAGGAGAAGCTCTTTTTGAAAGAGACAAAATCTCAGTAAGAACTTAATTTACTTCTCAAGACCAGAAGTCACTGAGGTCAAAACAACAACTCAGAACATAAGAATATCCAATCAGAACATGCCTTTTATATGGTTCTGCACTAATATTTAACTACTCTAATGACACAAAATTAGATTCATCTTAACAAAAACTTACCAAAAGAGACATTGAATCGCTTTAGTTCATAGAAAGTGACAAAAATCCACCTATTCCAAAGTAGAAGATCTTTGTTTTATCTTCCTTTCCAGATGTAGATAATATCCCACTATAAAAAACAAAAGCAAAATAATGCTTAGATTTACACGAAAGTTCCTTGAAGAACTATTTGCCATAAACAACAACAACCTGTTGCTGTCTGACTCATGGTGACCCCATGTGTGTCAAGGTAGAACTGTGCTCTATAGGGTTTTCAATGGCTGATTTTTTTTAAAGTAGATCACCAGACCTTTCTTCCGAGGTGCCTCTGGGTGAACTCAAACTGCCAATTTTTAGTTTAGCAGCTGAGCGTGTTAACCATTAGCCCCACCTACCCACCCAATATTTAGGCAGCTATTCCTTGACACAAGGACTGACACAATTCCTGGTAAGTGACTTCAAAGAGCATTTCTGTCTACTGAACACTATTTGGGATCTAACATCACAACAGAAGAGTAGAGTGAAGGGAGGCTTTGAATGTTTCCAAAGTCTCAATATACTTGCATCTCTCCTTTTCCATCTTGCCTATACTACTTTTTAAAAGAACCCTAGGCAAATGTGAAAGTAACACAGGAAAGCAAAGTTGGACCCAGTTTTGATATAAACAGTATCACATATAAATGTACCTCAAGAATTTCCAATGGTTCTACTTATAAGTAAACTTCAAGAAGTTCCAAAGCTCCCTGGTCTGATTAATTACCTATTAAATCATTTGGATCTCAGATCAGCAAATTTGGAAACATACCATATCATGTTTAGAAAAAAGATAAATGCAATTTTTATTTAAGTTTTCATGTGAAAAAATATTCTGTAGGCTGAATATTTTTCACCTTACGATTAAAATTCTCAATTCTATTCTTGGAATTTGTTAACAGGTATGCAAATAACTCCTGTCCACCTTCTTCAGTCGAGTATGAATCTCAAAAGGTTTAAAATCATAATTTCTTCAGATTCTTCTATATTGCCTTAGAAACATCACCAGAAGTTTCCGTATCTTTCCTAACAGAAAGGGTGGCAATGTTCTAAATTTGCTAGTGTTGGATGTCCCCTTCCACTTAACCAATACCACCTCGTTCATCTAAATTGTGCTTTGTTATTTCATTTTAATAAACTCTCCAAATTTGATCATGGTATCTGCAAATACTTGAGTAAAACGAAAAAGATTTTATAAACCACAGATATTAATTATAGAACAATATCCAATTTTATTTCTGAGGAAAGACATGAATTTATTCAGGATGTTCACTACAAATCAAAGGTACAGAATGGGATGATGAGGGACCTGAAAGGTTAAGTATTCCGTCATCTGCCATTCATTATCATCAATTTAATGGGCTGGGGTCTGCAGTGCTACAAAAAGGGGGAAAGTAATACCTTTCGGGGTGGTTGAGATCAAACGAGATACACTAGTGACCAAACATTGTATTAACATAAGAGCTTGACAGGTGTCCTAAAGGTACACTCAAATATTATGAGTAGCAGTGCAAAACGGTAAAACTCATTTGGTGAGCAAGTTGGCAATCTTTCAATAGCCATAAAAATGCTCATATCTTTTGACCCAGTAAAATTCTAGGAAACCCTGGTGGTGTAGTGGTTAAGAGTTGGCTGCAAACCAAAAGGATGGCATTTTGAATCCACCAGGCGCTCCTTGGAAACCCTATGAGGCAGTTCTACTCTGTCCTATAGGGTTGCTGTGAGTCGGAATCGACTAGATGGTTACGAGTTTGGTTTTTAAACACCCATAGAAAGTCATTACATTGTTATCTGTATTCATTCCACAGATGTTTTCTGAGCATGTAGCATGGACCAGAAACTGTGCTGCGCACTGGGTGCCCCCACTGGTGATCTGGACAGACTGAGGCTCTGCCCTCTTGTAGCTTACCTTCCCACCGACAGGTTAGGGATGTCGCTATTAACTGAATTTTCTGATTATCACGGTTTTGTATCCTGCTTTTTCTCACTTGGTAAGTTTTCTTAAAGGAAAAAAAATTCAAACTCCATTATATTATCTGTTTCTCAGGAAAACATAGAAGAAACAGACACAATCTGTGAGGCTTGTTTGTACTGAAGGGCTTGTTCCACTGGGATGGTTTAATCCCAGAGGTTTTTGCATTCAATATGCCAAGACAATTAAGGGATAATTTCACAAGACATTTTGAGGCCAACGCAGCAGCTGTGCCTTTTAAAACACTGCTGCACAGGGGCGTGCTGTCATTTTTCTCCTCCATGCTCTTGTGCTATGTATGAATATAAATCGTTTTAAAAAAAAAAAAATACTTAAGAGACCTATATTTCGACATGCATTCACGAGTATATCAGCGTGGTCCCTTGCCCTTGTATCTAAAAAGCTAATTTTGACAAAGCAGTTTAATTTGTTCCATAATGGAATGGCTTGTCCGAAGGTTTTAATCTGATAGGTTAACACGTACTGTGGACACCGAAGGGTGCCATCTATTTACAGAAGTCGGGTTTTGAGTTAATTTGAACATCCAACAGAGGCCATTATTACAGAAATATAAAGTAACTATTTAATTGTCTTTGTTGAACTTTAAAATTGCTGTAACTTTCAAAGTGATCTTGGGAATCCATAAAATCAACAAAAATTATAGCAACGCACAGCTCAATAAAAATTTTCAAACTTGGTATGGTGACTCATGCTTTCAACAAATATTTACTGAGTGCCTACTGTGTGCCAGATCCTGATCAAATTTTGAGGAAAAAGGTACTTGACACAACAAACCCACGAGGGAGAAAAGACAACGCTGAACTTAAATACCAAGGACAAAATGACGCTTGAGCATTTAATTTTGTAAAAGGTTCCTTCCTAGTCTGGCATTTGGAGGACTCTGCTGCGAACTCACAGACGGTGGCATGAGACATGGAGCGGGGGCCAAAGGGTTTCTTCCGCTTGGAAACTCCACCAGGCCACGAGCGCGGCCAAAGGTTAGAGCTGGGGGGCGGACAGGGAGCCACGGGCGGCTCCGGCCCGCGCACCTGGCGCCTCTGACCCCCGTAGGCACCGCCCACCCAGTACGCAGGTGCCTCCGCCGCCGGGCCGGGCTTGGAGGCGGCTGGCCAGGGCTGCCAACAGATCCGGAGGTGCGCGGGGCGCAGGGGCGCTCGCCACGCGGGGCTGGACTGCTGGCTCCGCTCCGTGGCCGCCCGGGCTCGGGCTCGAGGCGGGGCAGCGAATTCTGGCCTCGGACTGCTCGGGGCGCGTGCGGATCTAGTCGAGCACCCTTCCGTCCCCGACCGGCCTCCAGACCTTCCCTCCCCGGACCGGCCTCCCCTCATTACCCTGGCGGCGACCACGGCCAGCGACTCTCTTCAGGAGGCCCGCGGCGCGGGGCCGGGGTGGGCGCCGGACCCCGGGAATCAGGGATCCCGGCCCGCGGAGGGGCCAGGCGATCGCCCTAGGCCCGTTCCCTCGTGAGTCGTGGGGTGCAGGAGGTCGTGGGGCACGACAGCTACAGGGACCGTCGGCCTGGAACTTTGCCCCAGCCCCAGGCAACCCGCCGGGACGGGATTCGCCCCACCCCAGCCGGGTCGCGGCCCCGCCTCCCGCCTCAGAGCCGGGCCTCGAGGGGGCGGGGCCCTCGAGCCAAGGGAGGAGGGGAGGGAGGCGGAGAGGGAGGCGGACGCGAAACTACTCCGGGCGATGAGGGGGCGGGGCGGACAGGAGACTACAACTCCCGGCAGGTCGTGCGCTGGCGCCGTGGAGGCTGCTGGGAGAGTAGGTCCCGTTCGCGTTTCCCTGGTTGTGTAGAGGCTGCTATTGACAAGCCGTCGCTGCGGAACCGAAGTCGCCGAATGATGATGTTGTGAAGTCGCCCGCCAGTCCCTGCCGCGCCCAGGCGGTTACTGGCAGCGGTGGCAGCTAAGGCTGCTGCTCTCAAGCTGCCGCCGCTTTAGGGGCTTCTTCCTGAGGGAGCGCAGGCAGAGGGCGGAGGAGTTCGGGTCACTTCGGTGAGTAACCTTCCAGCGCCCGACCCGAACTTGCCCTTGCCAACTTCCCCTGAAGGCGGAGGAGCCTCCTTGTCCCGCGCCTCTCGCTTCCTCGGAGGTCACGCGTGGAGACTGGGGCAGGAGGCTGGGTATGGGAGGGCTGAGTCCTTCCCGCGTCGCGGTGGAGGAGTGGGTCGTATCCCAAGTGTGGGTGGGGGAAATGATGGGCGCTGAGCTGTGGCTGCCGGGTTCACCCCAGCTGCACTTCGGCGATTGGCAGCCGCTCATTCTCCGCCGGACAGCGTCCATCTGGAGCTACATCCTCCAGCAATGAGCAGCTTCGATGTCTGGAAGTTAAACCTTAAACCTCGGTCGCCATCTGTGATGTGAGCAGGAGGAGAGGATATTGAAAAGAGCCCCTGTGTAGAGTTGGGCATTTCTTGCAGTCGATTTTACGCCAGGTACCTCACGTCTTTTAAAACAAAAACGGCTGACTTTAATTTCAAGCGTAAATAATGGATATTGGCAGATGTCCTTGTTAGTGCCAGCAGAAAAATAATCTCCCAAGCACTTTCAAACATTTTGGGGTCATAATAATAGAGCTGAACTCAGTTACTTGCCCACACACCTTTATACCTACAGTTTCTGTGGCAGAAAAAAAGTAACTTTTCACTGTATATTCATCAAGCTAGACTGCAGTGTAAGAACAAAATGAAATGGACCCTTCCAGTTTTTTTTCGTTCATTTCAGTAAAAATTTTCCCTGCTTGCTGTTGAATTGGAAGTCTGAGCTTCAGTGATCTTTAAATAGCATTTTAATAGTGGTGACATGACACTTCTAATTGTGAAGGACATTTAATGGTGAGGAAGGGCAGGGATGAAGACACTTTATCATCTCAGCAGTTATTCTGGCTTTCTATTTTTAAAATTAAATTCAACAAGCTAGCAAGCACATAATATATGAAAGATAGTGTTTCATTATCTTATTCATTTTATTTTTATTCATACAATAAAAGAGATCAGAAAGAACCAACATTTGAGTATGGTACTTTCAGTCTGCCAGGCACCCCAGCTATGAACTCTACAAGCGTTAGATCATTTAGTCACTATTAACAACCCTCTTGCACTAATCTGAGACTCAGATTTTGCTAATGTAACAGAATGAAGATTCAGACGTGGATCTGCCTTGCTTCAAAGCTGCAGGTCAAGTAACTTGAAACTACCTCAGAAATTACTGACATTAAAGGTTGAATAGTTAAGAAATATTTTCCAGCATTATTTCCTAATACTAGTTCCAGAATGCCTTGGACATCTAGATTAAGCTGTGGACCTCTGCTTTAGTGCTTTTCAACAGGTTATTCTCTGTGCCTGCAATTCTTGTTGCCCAGAACTACAACTCCCGGCAAAACTCAGTCCAAATCTACCTCAGTTTACTTAAGTAAGAAGTAATAGGATTGGACTTTTATCTCAAAGGTCCTTTCCAGTTCTAAGCTTTTGTGATTCCACAGTTGAAAATATGAGCTAAGGAGTCCAATTCTCCACTGAAAATATTTAACATTTATAGTCAAAAAGGGTAAAAAACTTAAATTTTTTTTTATTTCAATACCCGGAATACGTTAAACACCAGTATAAAGAGTGAGATATGATAACATATTATTTCATGTTTATTTTGAGTTCTGTTTATGTCATTGTACCAGCTTTTGAGCCTCTTTAGTTCCATTCTGTTTTATCAGTAAGAAATCTGAGGCATTAAGGTAATACTCAAATTTAAAAGACTCAGTAATTGAAGGAACTTAATTATTTATGGTTCCCAGTCATATATATTCAGACCTTGAGTGTTCTGTAATGTAATAAACATTTATCTAATACTATGTTTTAGATGCCCGTCTAAATGTTTTACCTATATTAACCAAAAGGTTAGCAGTTCGAATCCATCAGCTGCTCCTCGGAAAAACCATATGACGCAGTTCTACTCTGTCCTATACGATCTGTCACTATGAGTTGGAATTGACTCAGTGGCAGCGGGTTTGGTTTTTTTGGTTTTAACTTATCTTTACATTAGTGCTGTGATATGTTTTATAGATAGGCAGCTGAGGCAAAGAGAGGATAAGTTAACATGCCCGAGGTCACTCAGCTAGTAAGTGGTGGAACTGGGTTTCAAACCCAGGCAATATCAGAATCTTTAATATTTGTCAACTGTTTTTATATAATTAGGTCATTTATCTTTACAATACCTTACATAGAGTGGAAACTCAAGTTTAGTGACTTGCCCAAAGATAATTAAATGGCGGAACTAGTGTTTGAACCTATGCTTCCCTTATGCTCTTGCCACTAAACAAGATTGGAGATTTGAGCCCACCCAGAAGCACCTTGGAGGAAAGCCCTGGTGATCTACCTCTGAAAAATCAGCCACTGAACCCTATGGAGCACAGTTCTACTCTGATGCACATGGGGTTGTCATGAATCAGAGTCGAGTTGATGGCAACTAGTATGGACTATGTACTGTGCTAGGTGCTAGGGATATAGTCTCTGCAATCTGAAGAGGGAAAGACAGTTATGGTAGTGTATTGAGCAGTATGATAGCATTGTACAGAGAGCAGTGTACAAAGGTGCTATGCAAGTAGAGAGAAAGGGCACTGAAAGGAGACTGGGCTTGGATGAGTCATGATAAAACAAATTAGAATTAGCCTGGGCAGGGAAGAGGGGGAGAAGTGCTGTAGCCAAAGGCAGTGGCATACAAAAAGGCTTTGAAATGTGGCCGGGTGATTAGGTTTCATGGTAAAGAGGAGGAAAGAAGTGTTGAGAGATGAAGCTGAAGTCTATGCTGGGGCCAGAATAGGAGAATTTTTGCATGAGATACTAAAGGGTTTAAGCTTTATCCTCAGAGGGATGAGATAGAGGGCATTTCTAGCAGTGGAAAAACATTAGATTTGCATTTTAGAAACTACTGTTTGAGCCTTGTGGAAAATGGATTAAAGAAGGTAAGACTGGAAGCAAGGAGTCCAATTAGATGGCTGTTGCCACAGGAAGCTGAACTGAAAATTTTCCCAGAATATTGAAATGTCAAACTAAAACAGCACCATTGTTAACATAAGGAAGAACACAGCTTACCCGTAGGGCATACGTAAGAAGATTTAGGAAGAATTTTTATATAGCTGTATCTAGGAGCCTTGGTGGTGCAGTGGTTAAGCGCTCAGCTAGTTCCCCACCAGCCACTCCATAGGAGAAAAATGTGGCAGTCTGCTTCCCTAAAGGTTGTTGTTACGAGCCATCAGGTCGGTTCCAACTCATAGCAGCCTCATGCACAGCAGAATGAAACATTCCCTGGTCCTGTGCCATCCTCACAATCATTGTTATGTTTGAGCCCATTGTTGCAGCCACTGTGTCAGTCCATCTTGTTGAAGGTCTTCCTCTTTATTGCTGACCCTATACTTTACCAAGCATGATGTCTTTCTCCAGTGACTGGTCCCTCCTGATAACATGTCCAAAGTAAGCGAGACGAAGTCTTACCGTGCTCTCTTTTAAGGAGCATTCTGGCTATACTTCTTCCAAGACAGTTCATTCTTCTGGCAGTCCATGGTGTATTCAGTATTCATCACCAACACCATAGCACAGATGCATCAGTTCTTCCTCAGTCTTCCTTATCCATTGTACAGGTTTCACATGTGTATTAGGTGATTGAAATTACCATGACTTTGGTCAGGCACACCTTAGTACTCAAGGTGACATCTTTGTGTTGTTGAATATTCTCTCATATTGAATATTCTCTCAGACTGTCTCATCACTGAATATTCTTTTATATTTGAATAAAGCTTTATGACTTATAGAAAGCAAAATGCCAAAAGCAAGGTTTGATGGATAAGGTTGTGTGTCAACGTGGCTAGGCCATGATTCTCAGTGTTTTGGCAGTTATGTAATGATGTAATCATCCTCTATTTTGTTAGCTGATGTAGTTATCCCCTATTTTGTGATCTGATGTAAGCAGCTAATCAATTGAAAAGGGAGTTTCCTTAGGGGTGCGGCCTGCATCCAGTGTATATGGATGTTCTGGCAAAGGTCGTGTGCTCTGGATTCTTCATCTGACACATCCTTTGATCTCTGGTTCTTGGGACGTGAGCCAGCAGCCTTCCACCTGACCTGCAGATCTTAGAATTCGCCAGCTCCCACAGCCCCGTGAGTCAGCAGCCTTCCATCTGACTAGCCAATTTGGGGTTTGTCAGCCTGTGCAACCACGTGAGTCAGGAAAAGACTCCTGACACATGGATTTGGGACTCACCAACTTCCACAACTGCGTGAGCCATTTCCTTGAAGTAAATCTCTCTTTCTATATTTGTGGAACCCTGGTGGCACACTGGATAAGAGCTCAGCTGCTAACCAAAAGGTTGGCAGTTTGAATCCACCAGCTACACCTTAGAAACTCCATGAGGCAGTTCTACTCTGTCCTATAGGATTGCTATCAGTCAGAATCAACTCGATGGCAACAGATTAGGGTTAGGATTTTCTTTATATTTGTGCTTATATATATATACAGGCTTCACTGATTTTGCTTCTCTAGAGAACCCAGCCTAAGACATTTGATACCGAGAGTGGTTCTAGAGGAACAGAATCATAAGGATGAGTGTTCTGAATTGGTTCTCAAGTCTGGCTAGTATTAAAGGCACTGATGACTCTGCATCTAGTAGTATAGAGGGCACTGCTAATCGATGGTGTGAAGTGGCAATAGGAATACACAAAATATCACCACCAATGGATCAAGTATTTGTGAGAGGCAAGGCTGTGGGTGATTGCATATTTGGTACTTTGGATCCCTGACATGTGGCTTAAGGGCTATTATGGTAGGAAAAGCCAAGCAGAATCCACTAGAACTGCTCCTACCTAGGAAAATAGTAAACCAAGAGTAATACTGCATTCCTGGAGGGATTACAGAGATTACTGCACCATCAAGGACTTGAAGGATGCAGGAGTGGTGATTCCCACCACATCCCCATTCCACTCGCCTATTTGGCCTGTGCAAAAAATGGA